GACGGCTGCAACGGCGGCGGCGGTGGAGACGACGGCTGCAGCAGCTGCGGCGACGGCGGCTGCGGAGGCGGTGGAGGAGGAGACACCGGGGGAGGGACAGACGGCGAGGACTGCGCCGGAGGACGACCAGAGTCAGAAGACTCGTCGACCGGGACGACCGACGGGAGGGGGGTGACGTGAGACACACCAGAGGGGGCCGGACGGGGGGGCGGGGGGGGGGGAGGGGCAGGGACCACCGGGGAAGGAGGGACCAGGAACAGGGGGGGAGTAACCGGGGGACCACGGTGGGGGAAGCGGCGGTAGAAGGAGACGGACTCGTCAAAGGCGACGTCGCGAGAGTGAAAGAAGCGGTGAGACGGCGGGTGGTAGAAGTGCCAGTCGGACGCGTCAAGGGGGAAACCGAGGAAGACGCAGGGGAGGGTGCGGGCAGTGAGCTTGTCCGTGCCAGAGGCACGAACGTGAGCAAGGCAGCCCCAGACGTGGAACGCAGACGCGTCACCAGGGGACCCGGTCCACAGAAGGGTCGGCGAAACCGGCGGCCGCTGGGGGTGCGGCCACAGGTTAAGCTGGTGAGCGGCGTAGCGCACGGCGAACGGCCACAGAAAATGGGGTGCACCGGCGTGGATCATGGAGGTGCGAGCCACCTCCATGACCAAACCGATGCGTCGCTCAGCGACCCCATTCTGCTGCGGGGAGTCCGGCAGGGTAAACGTCTGGGTGATGCCCTCCGCACGACAGAAGCGACCAAGGACACCTGAGGCAAACTCGCCACCCCGGTCGGAGTGGAGGCGCAAGGCAGGGAGACCGCGGTGGACACGAGCAGAGACAAGCCAGGGGATGAGAGCGTCAGGCACGTCGGCCTTCCGCTCCAGGGGAAAGACGGTGGTGTAGCGCGTGAAGTCGTCGACAAGCACTAGGAAGAAGCGCTCGCGACGCGGCCCATGGACCGGGGCTGGGCCCCAGACGTCCATGTGCAGAGTCTGCAGTGGTGCGGTGGTAGGGGGAAACGAGGAGGAGTGAGGGGCACGGCGGAGCCGGCCCTCGACACAAGGCGTGCACGGGGGGGCGGGGGAGGAGGGAAACTCGGGGAACGAACCGGGGAGACCAAGGACGAGACCGTGCTGGGACATGTGACGCAGACGCGGGAGTGCAGGGTGACCAAGGCGGTGGTGCCAAAGGAGAGTCGGGTGAGTGAGGGACCGACAGGAGCACGCAGCAGCAACCTGGGTGGACGCAGCGACCTGGGGGGAAGACCCAGCCGGGGAAGTCGCGGTGTCAAGTGTGAACAAGCCGGACACCGGGTCCCGGGGGAAAGTGGTAAGGGGGGCACCAGTGGCGGCCTCGGTACAGACAGCATACCGCTCGTGACCAGGGAACGTAGTGGTGACGCCAAGGTCCTGGAGGCAGCCGACACCAACTAGGTTCCTGGAGAACGAGGGGATATGCAGACCTGTGAGCGAACCTGAAGGAACCGCCGGACAGGGAAGGGAGGTGGAACTGCGGGCAACGACGGGACCACCGGAGGGGTCAGCAAGAGTAACTGCAGCGGGAACAGGCAGCGGCGTCAGCGTCGTGGAGTCGCGGAAGAAACACCCGGAGGCGCCAGAGTCCAAGGTGAAGGAAAGCGCAGCAGTCGCGCGAGGCGGCAGTGAAGCGGTGGAAGCACCGAGGCTAAGCAAAGCAGGAGATCCTACGCCTGACGCAGCAGGGGAGTCTACGATAGGCACATCTACACTAGGCAACACAGGGTAATAAGAGGGAAGCACACTAGAGTCATCAGCATACATCACATGCAAGGCTGCTACAATGGCATCCATGTCCAAGTCAAAAATCTGAATGCTACGCCTAAGCAAGCTGTGCCAGTCCGGGAGGTCGGGCGCCGGGCCAAAGCGCTGACGGAACAGGTCGTCCAGACGACGAAAACAGCGAGGAGTGGAATGACCGATCTTACCGCAAACGAAACCGCGGCGAGGACCGGTCTGGATCTGGTACTGACAGCGCCCGCCTCCAGAACCACCACCCGACGCACCACCACGCGCACGACCACCACCAGCTCCAGGCCACCCAGGCGGGAGAGCACTCGCCTGCCTTGTCTGCGGCGGCTGCTGCGGCTGCTGCGGAGGCTGCGGCTGCGGCGACTGCTGCTGCTGCTGCTGCTGCTGCGACTGTGGAGGCAGCGGGGCAGCTGGACTGGGCAGGGTCCCCACGTCCGCACCGGCACCGGACGACCCGACTCCACCACCACCCCCACCCGCACCCCCGCCGCCTCCGCCGCTCCCAACCTTGGGGCGGCGGCCCTTCCCCGAGCGGGACTGCACTGCAGCAGCAGTCTCAGCCACAGCGACAGAGCCGTCGGAGAAGGTACACTGAGCGGGGGCACAACCCTGAAAGATAGGGACCGGTACTGCACCGCTCGCCTGGGCGATGGAGCGGTGACGAGTCTCTATAACAGTCAGGGTGTCAACAAAGTCGGTGAGGGTGAGAGCAGCGGGGTGGATGCTAAGGAACTGGTCGCGGGCGGCGGCAAGGCGGTCAGGGAGGCGGGTGGCAAGGAGGTAGAGGGTAGAGGTCATGGGAGGCTGGTGGACTCTAAGCTGTGCATCAGTGCAGGCAGCGCGCCAGGTCTCATCGATCGAGCGCAGGTGGGCAGCGAGGTCAGAGACAGTGGGGAATGACGCAAGGTCAGGAAAAAGCAGGGGGAGGATCAGGCGACCCACTGAGGCGGCAGGAGAGGTAGAATAGCGCTTGATGACAGCATCGAGGTAGGCCTGGGCGGTAGTAATGGTTCTAAAGCGAGGGCGCTCGGGGGGGGGGAGGGCATTGCTAATGGCGAGCTGAGCAAGGGCATCGCGAGAAAGCCAGAAAGAGCGGGCAAGGGCAGCGGCGGCAGTGGACTCGCGCTCAGCGGGCGTGGGATCAGCGGGCAGCACAGCAGGGGGGTCAGGGCAGGGGAGCATACCGTCTAGGTGGGCAGAAAGCGGGTGGCCGTCCTGCCGTTGACCAGTGAGGTGGCGGCGAAGGTCAGCCAACCACGCCTCGAACTCCAGATGCTGACCCTCAGCATCAAAACGAAGCTCAGCAGCCATCAGGGGCAGTGTAGGATGGTGGAGTGCGGTGTAGTGCTGTGCAGTGCAGTGCAGGGCGGTGCAGTGCGGTGCAGTGCGATGCAGTGCGGTGCAGTGCGTTCCAGTGCGGCGCAGTGCGTTCCAGTGCGGTGCAAGGCGGGGCAGGGAAGTGCAGGAGGGTGCAAAGCGGTGCGGGGAACGGGGGACAGTACCAGGAAGTATGTAGGGCCGGGGCAGGCGCGACGGGACCGGGCAGGCGCGACGGGGCCGGGCAGGCGCGACGAGGGGCCAGGCAGACGCGACGGGGCCGGGCGGCTGCGACGGGGCCGGGCGGCTGCGACGGGGCCGGGCGGCAGCGACGAGGCCGGGCGGCTGCGACGGGGCCGGGCGGGCGTGACGGGGCCGGGCGGGTGCGACAGGGGCCGGGCGGCTGCGACAGGGGCCGGGCGGGCGCCACGGGGCCGAGCGGCTGCGACGGGGCCGAGCTGGGGCGACGGGGCCGAGCAGGTGTGACGGGGCCCAGGAGGGGCGCGACGGGGCCCAGGAGGGGCGCTAAGGGGGGCCCAGGAGGGGCGCGACGGGGGGCCCAGGAGGGGCGCGACGGGGGGGGCCCAGGGAGGGGCGCGACGGGGGCCCAGGGAGGGGCGCGACGGGGGCCTGGGAGGGGCGCGACGACGACCTGGAAGGGGCGCGACGAGGCCTGAGAGGAGCACAACGGGGCTAGGGGGGGGGAGTCGCGACTGGGCTCAGGAGGGGCGAGGCTAGGCTAGGAGACACGACGGGAGGAGCGGAAGCGGTAGGTGGGGGGGGGGGGGTGGGGGGGGTCGAAACCTACGCGTGATACCATCTCAAAACTAGAATTGAATAATCATTGAGTTAGAGAGTACATGCACATATACCTAAATGTTGTACCCTCTAGGAGGTTACCCTATACAGTCTATACAAACATGATCAATAAACATGTTTGACACGGCTGCCTACTATTCGCAGCAGTAACCTGCCGACCCGACCTGTCCTATAGTGCGAGTCAATTGGCGACGCATCTGAAGCAGCCGGAACAGGAAGATCTCGAAGAGCTCAATCGGGCGCTACTCTACTTCGTCTCCACGCCGACGATCGGGCTCACCTACAGCAAGGCAACAACACCGTCCGTACGACTACTCGGATACGTCGACGCCGACCACGCGGGAGACAGGGAAAATCGACGATCTAGGACGGGCTACATCTACCGACTAGAACCTATCGAAACTATCTCCTGGCAGTCGAGCAAGCAGGAGTTAATCGCACTATCCTCGGCTGAAGCAGAATATATCGCCCTCTGTACTGCGACCAAGGAAGGACTCTACCTACGAGAGTTACTCGAGGAAGCAAAGATTGCGACCCTGCCCGCCTTCTCACTTCTCTGCGACAACCAATCTGCGATCAAAATCGCGAACAAGGACGGCTTCGCCAACCAAACTAAGCACATCGCCCTGCGGTACTTCTTCGTCAAGGATGAAATCGCGAAGGGGAGACTTCAACTCAGTTACTGCCCGACGACAGAAATGGCCGCAGATTATCTGACGAAGAAATTGGCGAAAGCAAAATTCGACTACTGCATGCTCCTGACCGGGCAAACAAACGTCACCGGACCCGAACACGTCAACACTCCAGAAACGAAGGGGAGTGTTGGAAATATCTCAAAGGACTTAAGCGTTTCTGAAGTGTAACACTGCACTCGAGGAAGACTACAGGGGAGCACGCGAGGTCAACGGAGGTTACATGAGGGGACAGACAAAGAATGCGGAAAGACTCGAAAGGTCGCAACTGGAGGTTGCAACTGAACGTTACAACATCACGGATGGTAACCGAAGCGGCAATCGAGTCGCTGTGCGACTCGATAAACCTTTCCTGTAACTGTACTCTACAACTGCTTTCTTATCTTCTATATATTGCTGTATGCTTGTTTCTTTAATCAATCACATACTAGTACAAGGGTTCAACTGCCTCAACCTCCGCTGCACTACTCAAAGTCTCAAAGTCTCTACAACTGGGACTTAGTCTCTGCAAAAGATCCTAAGGGCTTTTCTCAGCCCAATACAAAATATGGTGTTTGGCTACTAATCCAATCTTGTGCTTCCAATTTTTTAAAAATGGGTATTGATCCATTCTTTCAACTTTGTATATGCTCTTTATGCAGCAGTGTACCAATTTACAGAGCACGGATTAGTAGCAGAGACTCCACGGCAAGCGAGTCCTCGTCCTCAACCAAGATTTCTTCGCCCTTGCTACTTGCATGTGGCAGCACATCCACCGTTGCCCTTTCACCCAGCGACAGTGAGAGCAATTTCATGTCTCTGCCCCCCCCCTGCTGCTCATTAGCTAAGGGCGTCGATGCAGCCTCAGCGGGGGACGGATTCGTCGAGGCAGTGAGGGGAGATCGTTTACTCGGAGGCGCTAAAGTGAGGAAGGTGTGGAGGGGCGATGGTGGGGTGTTAGCATCGCCGAACTTCACGCCTGCCGTTGTTTCACGAGAAGGGGGAGCACCCGCAGCTTGATTCGGGAAGGACGCCGGAGCGGTGGAAGGCGGAAGGCAGTGGGAGTCGGCGAGAGGCGCGGTGGCGGCATTCGTGGTGTCGCAGGGGATAAGCTGGATGGCGGGCCTGCTCGTCACCGACTGGTTCCGCTCAAGCGGCCACGGCTCCCTGGCGGTCTGTGAATTGCCGGCGGTGGATAACGGGAGAAGCGGAGGAAGGCTGTGCGACACGGGTGGGCTAGCCGTCGTGGCGTCGTCGCTGCACGCGCTAAGCGACACGCACATCGCGGGCTGGCTCGCCGCTGGCATGCTTCGGGGCCACTCGGCAGAGCCGTGCGTTTGCGGGAACACCTGAGCTGAAGGCACTGCTTGCTGCGTAAACGAGTGATCGACGGTGGCGGGAGAGTGTGTGATGGCTGCCGCGCCGCTGGTATAGCCCGAGGGAGTCTGCGGCGCTGCGACCATCCACGACGAGGGTGGCGCCCAAGCAACGGGGCCGCTGCTCGCGGTGGGCGATAAGGCTGAGGCAGGGGCCGCCCCTGTCGCGGCGAGCTGCGACGGAGGGCTGGGGCCAGCGGATGACCAGCTCGCATAATTCTCGGCTTGCGCCGTTGCCTCCGTGGAGAGCTGATAGCGCCACGAATGGCTGCCGCTGCTACTGGTGGGCGCGCACGGCAGCGCGTGTCCCGCTGCTGCTGCAAGGCTAGGCGCGGGAGCGGCGGGCGGAAGCAGCACGGGCGCCACGCTGGGCGCGAGCAGCCCCAGCTTCGCGGCGGTGCTGCCGGGCGTGGGCACGAGCAGGCGGCGGGGAATGCCGTCGACAACGATGTCGGGCGCCGTGTGCATGAGGCGGCCCAGCGCCGTGCCATGCAAAGCCTGCATGCCGCGGGCGAACGCCAACGGGTCGTAGCTCGCCCGCGGAGCCAGAAGAGGCGGCGGCGGAGTGGCGGAGAACGACGACGGAGTAGCGCCAGGAGCGGGAGGGGGTGAATGAAGTGGGCGGGGGACCGATGGCGCCGCAAACAACGAGCCTAAAACGGAGGGTTTGGCCATAACGGATCGTTGGTTTGGGCCTATCGCACGAGTTGCCGACACTGCTGGCTGGACGGGGATGGGAGCAGTGGACCCGACACAAGGGGCGCCCGGGGTGAGCGCTGAGCCGGTTGCCACCGAGGGAGGCGGGGTCTGAGGCGGGGACGTGGCGAGGTACTTCCGCGGCGGCTCCAGTCCTGCGGGCGCATCGTCGGGCGCCGCCCGCTTCTCGCCGTGGCACGCCGCTCCTGGCCGCGGCAGAATGGCGCGAAGGCGCGTCCTACTGGGCTCTACTATTGCCTGCCCTGCGCATGCCGCTGGGTTGCCCGGCTGTGAAGGCTCCGTCGAAAACGAGTGATGAGGGAAAGGCTGGGACGCTCCGCTAACCGTGTTCGGATGTAAAACAAGTGCGGCCATGGTCATTTCTCGAGATTCCTGGTAAAATGGTTGCGGAGGAACCACTAAATATGGATTTACAGAGCAACGCGAAGTGCCTGATCGACTGCTACCGACAGCCCAAGGTGACGCAGGTGAGATGCAGCAGCTCTGGCCGTATCTGCGCAACGACTTCATTCTTTCAAAATATTCGCTTTTGGCGTTGTTTCATGCGCGCCCTCCTATTTTCGCTTTCGCTAAAGCCTGTTCCAATTCGCCTGTGCCACATGCCTGTTGCCCCTGCACTTTTCTCTGGCAGCTGAAAGCTGGGCAAAATGCCATGCTCTGTAGAGATGCGGTGCGGGTGCGAACCGCTCGCTCTCAACTGGTGGTGCACGCCACCGTGGAGCTGACGCTGCTGTCAAATAGAACGCGTCGCTGACCTGACGGTGCCAGCCAGACGATCCATTGCGACGATCTGCGGGGTCTCTGCCTTCGTGTACACCAATGTGCGAGTGTCGCCCCAACCAGGTTATACCTGCTGCGACGGCCGTGCAGACGGTTTGGGGACCAGCACGCCACAGAGAGTCGTCGGCCTATAGACGGAATCGTGCAACTCGAACCAGACCTTTCACAACTGACCACATCGGACTGACAATGGCGCTTCGTTCAAAATGCCGAAACCGAGACTAGCGACGCGCTGTAACGTTGGCATTTGGTGAATCTTTTTCGTTGAGGTCCGAAATGTGATTGTGCATTGGTCCAACCATGGAGGTATTTTGAACTAAATGCTCATAGATACATTCATGCGCCCATTATAAAGTAACACAACAAATCAAATTTCGAGGCAATAAATAGGTAGTGACTACATTCCGCAACTCTTTCTAGAAACTACGAGCACATGCACATTCACATGCCAGCCTCCTCTCTGCTGTTTCCTTCACCACCATTGCTGTTTCCAGGACCGTCTTCCCCACTTCCCTCTTTTACTCGATTTCCCCCTTCCTCGTCTGCTGTTGTTTCTTTCTTCTCACCGCCTTCCTCGTCCTCACCCTCACTGCTTATGAAACTGCCTGGGGTTTGCACTGCCTTGTTCCCCCCTCCCAGCGACTTGAGTGCGCGGTACACCTTCCCCCGCTTGGTGCTCCCCTTCTCCTTGTCCACCCTCCCCTCACTGGACGCACGCCCCTTGCTGCTGCCACTCTTCAAGTCAGGGCTCGCCTGCTTCCCCCTGCCGGGTCCGTGCTCCGCCGACCCCTGCTCGCTGCCCTTGAGCGACCCCCCTTCCCCTCCGCGCGGGTGGGTGCCGGAGCCGCCCTCCCCCGAGGCCTGGGAGCGCAGGGAGCGCAGGAGTGCGCCGATGCGCTTGGTGCGGATGGCCTGGCGCATCACGTCGATGGGCAGGTTCAGGCGCCGCCGCAGCACGGAGCGGTACCACACCTGGATGGTCGTGGCCGCGCGCATGCGCCGGTTCAGCGAACACATGCTGCCCAGGGGGGGGGAGACGGGATGGTGAGAGATAGCAAAGTTGAGAGTTTAGGGTGCAAAAAGAGGCACAATTTGAGAAGTAAATCGTTCAAGTCATAATTTGAGGAGGCTGTTGAAGAGGCGTGGGAGGGGGGGGGGGTGGTGGGTGGTTACTTGAGGGCCTGCTGCACTTGGTCGGACTGCATGACGGTGAAGAACTGCGTGCACACGAAGTCAATGTCCGCCGCCTCCAACGAGAAGCCCTCCACAGGCCCGATGCAGCAGAACGTGCGCTCCGACTTGGGCAGCAGGTCCGGCATCACTGCCGACCCCACCTTCATGTCGCCTGCTCGCACGGGGGAAAAGGAGGAGGGGGGGGGTTAGGAAAATGCCGGGGAAGGGCCAGTGACGGACGGGGATGCAAAGGTAGGATGGTATGGGGGGCAAGGGAAGGAACGAGAGGCACGGAAAGTGCCTGTGGTGGAGCGTGGCAGCGGCTGGAATGCGAGTGGAGAGGCGCCAGGCAGCGCGTGGATGGGAGTGGGGCAGAGGGGATTGACTCACGGCGCATGGAGCGGCGGGAGTGCAGCTTGTGCTTCTTGTTGGACTCCTCGGCGTACTTCTCGATGAAGTACACCAGCAGCTCCTCGCCCACGAAGTCGCCCTTCCCCAGAATCACCTCCTCATAGAATCCCGTGCGCCCGCGGTTGGTGGTGGAGCTCTCGAGGGCCCCGCGCAGCACGAAGAACATGCGGCTGACGGGGGAGCCCTCGCGCAGGATGATGGTGCCGTCGATGTACAGCCGCTGCTTGAGGCGCTCGCAGATGGCGTCCAGCACCTGCTCCGGCATGCCCTTCAGCAGCACACAGTGCTGGGGTGGGCACGCGCAGGGGCGGGGGGGGGAGGGCGGAGGGGTGGGGAAGGGGGAATGAGAGAGCGGGCAGGGGAATGAAGGAGTGCCCCGCCAGCACTAGGGAAAGGAACTGTGGGCAGGACGCCATGACGCATGTGGCGAGCAGCAAGGCATGACCCAACGGTGCAGAAAGAACAGGAGACCGAAGAAGGGGCACATGGGGGAGCAGTAAGAAGAAGCAGTGAGGAGGAGCTGTGAGGAGGAGCAGTGAGGAGGAGCCGTGAGGAGGAGCCGTGAGGAGGAGCCATGAAGAGGAGCTGTGAGGAGGAGCCGTGAGGAGGAGCAGTGAGGAGGAGCAGTGAGGAGGAGCCGTGAGGAGGAGCCGTGAGGAGGAGCAGTGAGGAGGAGCAGGGAGGAGGAGCACTAAGGCAAGGAGAGAGTTACCTTGGTGATGAGTTCGAGCGAGAGGTGGCGGCGCACGTCCCTCTGGATGTCCTCGGACAGCGACGTCATGACCTCCTCCTCGTTCACGCCCTGGTTCACCGTCCACACGTACCGCTCCAGCTGCCGCACTCGCCTGGCACCACACGCAGGCACACGGGTGACCGGGCCGAGGTGGGGGGTGGTGGAGAGGAGCGGTGGAGAGGGGTAAGGGGTGGGGGTGAGGGGCGCGGGGGTGAGAGGAGGACATACAAGAACATGAGCGGAGGAAGGTGGGGGTCATGAGGGGTGAGTGCCAGGGTGCGGGTGCAATGGGTGGGACCGGGTTGCCAGGGTTGCGTGCACAGAGTGCGGGCACCTGGGCAGGGGTGCGAGGGACTGTGCCTCACCTCTGCAGGTCGCGGGGAATGTCTCGCTGCGACATCCACTGCTCCAAGTCCCTCAGATGCAGCCGGTGCTCAAACGACCTGCCACACACCCCAGCCCCTCCCCCCCCCCCACAGACACATAAACGCACACACGCACACAGGCATGCACAGATGAGTGAGCATGCAGGCATGGAGAGACAGGGAGGGGTGGCACACAGCAGCACACGCAGCAAGTGATCGCTCAGAGGCACTGGCCGTCTGGTGAGCGAGGCACTGGCCGTCTGGTGAGCGAGGCACTGGCCGTCTGGTGAGCGAGGCACTGGCCGTCTGGTGAGCGAGGCACTGACCGTCTGGTGAGCGAGGCACTGACCGTCTGCTGAGCGACTGCAGGAAGTTCTGCATGTTGCCGATGAGGAAGGCGAACAAGAAGAGCCCGAGCGCCACTATGAGCAGCATGAACACCACCTCGCCCACCTCCGTCGACGGCACCAGGTTGCCCGCCAGCGTGCTGATTTGCTGGGGAGGGGGGAGGGGACGGGAGGGGAGGGGAGGAGGGAAGGAGGGAAGGAGGGAGGGATTGACAGAGGGTGGGAGGGAGGGAGAGGAGGTTGAAGAGTAAAGGGGAGAGAGGGAGGAAGGGAGCGATGGCGAGGGAAGTTGGGGGCGGGCGTACCTGGAAGCCCCACATGAGGGAGTAGAGCCAGGTGGAGAACCAGGAGCCGAGCTGCACCACTCTGACGCCCGTGGTGTACATGCCGTAGAAGTCGCTGCTGATCGCGCCGTTGTTGAGGCACTCGTCATACACACCCGTGCTGTTCGTCACCCACGCGCTGTAACCCCCCACGCCAGGTGGGTTGCCGCTCCCCCAGCAGCTGAGGAACGCCTGCTGGCACGGCGGGTCGGCGTCGGGCAGGCAGGCGTTGACGAGGCAGGTGGCGGCGCGCTGCATGGTGAGCAGGTACCAGAGCGAGCCCACGACGTTGGAGCCCATGAAGAATGCCACGAGGTTCAGCAGGAAGGACGCCCACGCCGTCTCAAAGAGGAACGAGTGGCTGCCCTGCCCCGACAGCATGGGGTACATGCGCGCCATGCGCGGCACAAACTGCAGCAGGATGGACAGGCGCGCCGCCACCTGCCACGTCTGCGACACGTTCACGTCCGGCGATATGGGCAGCAGCACCAGCGTCACCACCTGGACGGGGAAAGGGCGGGGGGAGGAGGAGATGCGAGCGACATGCTTCCAGTGAGGAGAGGTCCGCAGGGAAAAGTGAGAGGCGAGAGCGGCAGGGCAAAGTGCATGGGGAAAGAGGGAGATGCGAGGAGCAAGGTGCAAAAAAACGGCGTTTTTCACCTTTTTTTACCGTGTAAAACGGAATTGTATAAAACGGCCGTTTAATACGATTTAAACGGTCAAAAGTGGTGTTTTCTGACTGGTGCAAAAAAACGGCCGTTTTATACGGTCGTTTTTTTCATACCGCCGTAAAAAACGGAAGTTCGCTTTATATCGAGGAGGGTGAGGAGGGTGAGGAGGAGGGCGACTAGAGCGAGGAAGGGGAGAACTAGGGCGGGGAGGAGGAGGACAATTAGGAGGAGGAGCAGAGCCGGAGTAGAGTCGGAGGACTAGGAGGAGGACAACTAGGAGGGTGAAGGAAGGGCGAGAAGGACAATGAAAGCAGGTCTAGGAAGACGAGGATGGTGTTTTAGATGCACGTAGGCTGTCGCCGCTCTGTTTCCCAGCGGTTTTTTAAAAGCTAAGGGTGGAAAAAAAAAGGGGGGGGGGGGGGGGGGGGGGAAAGGGAAAAAAAACTCTTACAAAAAAACGGTAGAATTTGCATAAATCTGCCGTATAAAACGACCGTTAAAAACAGGCCGTTTAATATGGAAACCGTTTTTTTGCACCTTGGCGAGGAGTGCATGGGGGGGCGGTGGGGGGAGGGGCGGACCTGGGGGATGGGGAGGAGGGCGAGGAGGTCCCAGAGGGCGAGGCTGTGCAGGTAGTTGAGCAGGATGGCGCGCTCGTCTGTGATCACCAGCTCGCCCAGCTTCACCGCCTCGCCCGCCGCGTTCAAAATGCTGCCCGCCCGCACGTGCTCGTGCGTCGCGTTGAACGCCAGCCGCGTCTGACGCCCAGCAGCCAAGGGGTGGGGTGGGGGAAGGGAGGCAGGGGCACCGTGGGGGGTGTTGGAGGAAACGTGGCGAGAGATTCGAAAGAGGCAAGAATGAAGGGGGAGTGGGGTGGATAGGAAGGCGAAGGAGAAGCGGCGCAGGGATGCAGAGAGGGGCAGAGGGAGAAATGTGAGAACTAGGCACCAGCGATGAGACGAGGAATGAGAGCAATATCAAGATGCTTGATCGAGACTTACAGCACGTTGAGGAGAGCGCGACTCACATGCACGAGCACGTTGAGGAGAGCGCGACTCACATGCACGAGCACGTTGAGGAGAGCGCGACTCACATGTACGAGCACGTTGAGGAGAGCGCGACTTACATGTACAAGCATGTTGAGGAGAGCGCGACTAACATGTACGAGCATGTTGAGGAGAGCGCGAATCACATGCACGAGCATGTTGAGGAGAGCGCGACTCACATGCACGAGCATGTTGAGGAGAGCGACTCACATGCACGGGCATGTTGAGGAGAGCGCGACTCACATGCACGAGCATGTTGAGGAGAGCGCGACTCACATGCACAAGCATGTTGAGGAGAGCGCGACTCACATGCACGAGCATGTTGAGGAGAGCGCGACTCACATGCACGAGCATGTTGAGGAGAGGGCGACTCACATGCACGAGCATGTTGAGGAGAGCGCGACTCACATGCACGAGCATGTTGAGGAGAGTGCGACTCACATGCACGAGCATGTTGAGGAGAGCGCGACTCACATGCACGAGCATGTTGAGGAGAGTGCGACTCACATGCACGAGCATGTTGAGGAGAGCGCAACTCACATGCACGAGCATGTTGAGGAGAGTGCGACTCACATGCACGAGCATGTTGAGGAGAGCGCGACTCACATGCACGAGCATGTTGAGGAGAGTGCGACTCACATGCACGAGCATGTTGAGGAGAGCGCGACTCACATGCACGAGCATGTTGAGGAGAGCGCGACTCACATGCACGAGCATGTTGAGGAGAGTGCGACTCACATGCACGAGCATGTTGAGGAGAGCACGACTCACATGCACGAGCATAATGAGGAGAGTGCGACTCACATGCACGAGCATGTTGAGGAGAGCGCGACTCACATGCACGAGCATGTTGAGGAGAGCGCGACTCACATGCACGAGCATGTTGAGGAGAGCGCGACTCACATGCACGAGCATGTTGAGGAGAGCGCGACTCACATGCACGAGCATGTTGAGGAGAGTGCGACTCACATGCACGAGCATGTTGAGGAGAGCACGACTCACATGCACGAGCATAATGAGGAGAGTGCGACTCACATGCACGAGCATGTTGAGGAGAGCGCGACTCACATGCACGAGCATGTTGAGGAGAGTGAAGACGTCTATGAATGTGCGGATGCCCACCAGACAGTAGCCAAAGGTCCACCTCGTGTACACACACATGTTCTCCTGCACACACGCACGCACACACGCACACGCGCACACACATGCACACACACGCGCGCACTCACGCACACACGCACGCACGCACGCACGCACGCACGCACACACGCACACACACATGATGCTGCCCGAAGGCTTGATAATGAATAGCAAAAACGACATGATTGGACGAGGGGGAGGAAAGAACCTGGGAGGTGGGTTGGCACCTGGGAGATGGGTTGGCACCTGGGAGATGGGTTGGCACCTGGGAGATGGGTTGGCACCTGGGAGATGGAGAGGACGAGGAGGAAGAGCGGGTCGAGCAGGAAGGCGAGGAGCATCATGCCGAACTGCAGCTTGATCCACAGCTTCACGTAGAAGTTGTGCGGATTCAGCACCGGCGGCGGCCACAGCTCCGACAACCACCGCCGCAACGTGAAGCGGCGCCGCCGCTGCCAGGGGAGGAGGAGGGGGGGACGGGTGGTGGGCAAGGGGTGGTGGGCAAGGGGTGGTGGGCAAGGGGCGATGGGAGGGGCGGTGGGCAAGAGGCGATGAGTGGCAGGGCGGAGTGAAGAGGGCGAATGGCAATGCCGCATGGGGCATATTGATAATGCTGACTGGTGTATACATCAACCCCAACTCACACATGTGATCCTGACACGCACTCACATGAGCTATCCCACGCCGCACTCACGTAGGTGATTTTGAGCCCGCAGCACCGCAGCGTGACGAGCAGCTCCTCCTCGCCGTCGCCCTGGTCGCCCTCGTCGTCGTCCAGCATCCAGTCCATGGCGGAGTAGTCCTTCACGGCCGGCGCCACGGCGGCGCTGCTCATGGCCGTGGCGCCGCTCATCATCTTGCGCATGTGGAGGTGCATCTCGGGCGGGCAGCGGTTGCACATGGGGTCCATGCACATGATCACGGACTGCCGCACCATCTTGCGCTGCCGCGCAACCCCCGGCATGTCCACCGCCACGGCCGACTGCGCCCCCAGTCCCCCCCCGGCGTGCGCCATCGGGTTCGACGCGCGTTGCTGCTTCTGCTGCTGCTGCCGCGCCTTGCGCTCGGCGCGCAGCGCCTCCAGGTCCTTCGCCAGCCGCTCCAAGTCGTCGTCCTCCGCGCCCTCCCCCCCGCCCTCCTCGTCCGCCGCGGTCCCCCCCCCGCGCGCGTTCTCCGCCATGTCGCGGAGCTCGCGCTCGACCTCCTTGATGTCTTTGAGCGACCGCTGCACCACCTGCCACTTGCTCCGCCCCGACCCCAGCTTCCCCAGCAACCGCGCCTCCCCGCCCTCACCCGCCGCCCCCCCTCCCCCTGCCGGCTGCTTCTGCCCGCCCGTCGGCGTCCCCTCGTCGCCCGGCTGCGGGTCGACGGCGGCGCTCCCCCGCGCCGCGCTGCTGCCGCCGTCGGCTTTTGGCGAGTGGCCGTCGCGGTCCTCGTCGAAGCGCACTCCCAGGCCGCGCGGCCTGCGGCGCGCGTAGATGGCGGACATGGGGCGCAGCGCGGTCGACACCCGGTTCAACGGGCCGCTGCGATTCTTCGTTCTGCCGCCGCCGCCGCCCACGCTGCTGGACGACGGTATGCATTGCCTCGGCGACGGCAGCGCGGGGGACGACGGACGCTGCGCATCCTCCCCCTCATCCGACCGGAGCGACCCGCGGTCGCTCTCCCCTCGCGGCAGCGCTGCGGCTACCGGCGCAGAGGCTGGCGGGGAGGCAGCAGTGCCCGGCGGGTGCGGGTGAGGGCGGCGGGGTTCGGGTGAATGCGGGACGCCAAGGGACGGCGGAGACAGGGGCGGCGGTTGAGCGAAATCGGCGGCGGAAGGAGCGGGAAGGGACGCGGCAGAGGGTTGCGACGCCGGCGGCTGCGACTCCGATGGCTGCGCGGAGGAGGGCAGCAGCGACTGGGCGTCCGGCGTGGCAACCCAGTCGTCGTACTCCGACAGCAGAGACATGCCTGGCGAACGGACCTCCGCAGTGCTACCTAGAACGGGCTGTTGCGGCCCAACTCACGCGCATGACGGGTAAGCGACTGAGCCTGCTAAGCAAATATCAAGCGGAGGGTCCACTCCACGGCATGCAAGCTCAGAGGGTGTGCGGTGGCTGTAACCCTGGTTGTACCAATGTCGAAGCGACACGTCAGGAAAGTCGCCACAATCTGCAGTGACTACAAAGCCATGGCGTGAAGCAATGGTGGAGCACACTTCAGGTTAGGGCTGCTTTGCAATGCAACGCCATGGTGAGGGAGGGTATTTTCGGGTCTGTTGAACCCTTTTCGTTGGGTCTTTTGCGAACAAGCCCGCGCGAATGCTCAAGGAGAGAACGATGGGGCATGGAGCTCCATGAAACACACAGGTTCTACGGGCCAAGGCTATTTATTATAGCCAGTTTTAACCTGTATCATCCCATCCTGGTGTCATCCGAGAATGATGGAGAACCAATAACGTGGGGTTTGCTGGAATTTGAAGGCATGCGATTAGTTTCCAACATTCTCAGATGACACCAGGATGGGATGATACCATGTAAAAACATGTCCTCTCTGTTCAGGTTTCGGCAACGAGACACGTTACATTTTCGTCCACGTCGTGAATATCGCGAAAGATAAGCCTCGAGTTCCGGAACTTTCCTCGTACTGAACCACATCCACTCTGTCGGGGCATTGCGGGGCCTTCGCGAGTTCCGGAACTATTTCCGGAACTTTGAGCTGCGGAACAGAAATATACACGCCCCTATCCACTACGCCTCCCAAACACACCCCCCCCCCCCCCCCTTCCCCCCCCTTCTCTCCCGCCTTCCAAGGAAAATCCTTCATTCCCTCCAGTTCTGTGGAAGCCCACCCCAGGCATGGAGCGGAGGCCGAAACCCATAAAAGTAAAAACCTGCGCTGGATACCGCCGGAGGAAGATGATCTTTACATCAAATATCAAGAGGGTATCCAGAGCAGGCCTTACCATCGACAGGGTAAACAAACAAGATCGCCTAAAACGTGGGTGTTGTTGACGTGACCAGGGTGGGTGCCCTCGAGCTTCTCGCCAGCATCAATGGTCCCCAACTTCGGAGGTCACTCACAGCAATGAAAGGCCGCCAAATAGGGTTTCGCGGCTGAAAGGTGGGAACCAAGCGCACGTTCATTTGAACACCGTCCGTAACGCAACTCAGAACTTGTTATGAATTATAACTCAAGTGTACAGCGCAGAATACTATAGGGGAGCGAGATTACAATGTTGTACCAAATAATGAGGCCTAGGCAATATATAGGTGTGTTGACCAGGTTGAATTTCGAGGGCTGGACCAGTCAAGGGCTCGATAGTCCCGATGGTGACAGGGTCAAAATGGGTTCAAGGCGACTCGGGATCAGGTTGGGGCGGAAAAGGTCGACGGGGGCTAGTTTGGCGCGAGAACCAAGGGCCTAGCCTGCGGACCCGAGAGGTTCGCGTGTACTCGTTGTGGCGAGCCCCAGTAAGGAGTGGTAATTCCTTACATTCTCCCACCTTCTAAAGGAAGACCCTCCCTTTATCGAGGCCGAACCGTCATTACAAGTAATCCCCGATGTGACTGTAAGTCTTCAGCCATGTGACGACCGTAATAATTACGCCGGCCTGACAAGGTCTTGAGGTCGAATTGAAATCGATGGTCAGAAAGCATCGAAATGATCGCTTTTAATATCGTCCGTCGAAGATGGTCGAATTCTTCTGCTGACTAACCGAGCAATGGTAAATACTCAAGCGGAAGACAATGAACAGTTAAACCGTCGAGTGGTCGATTGATGATGGCGCGTGGCAGTTGAACATCTTGAAATGATGACTGGCGAATAACGTGATGGTCGATGAAATGAAGAACCAGTTCATCAAACGCGATGTCGTTCGTGTCACATGCGAGAGCACGCGTCCGTGCCGTGTCCCACGAAAGTCAGCGAACTCCATTAACGAAGTAACGAAATCAGGCGCGGAAGCGTAACGGTGACGAATGATGCTCGAAGACGGATGATGGAGCATGCCACAAGGTCTGACGGAAAATTGCAGCACAGCTGCACTTCTCTCTCCTCCAAGAAGAAACATCTCCGAATCTCCGAGGTAGAACTTCAGGAAACCCAATGCTCCAGGGTAGTCGAAAGAATCCCACGCTGCTGCTGAAAATTCTCATACTCAGCTCCCAAGATGCCGCTGCAAAACTCCAACCGCGAGAAATCTCACACGGCTTCTGAAAATGTCAGAAATCTGCTTCGAAGACGCGACTGAAAATACACCAACATGTAGATCTCCCAAACTGCTTCAGACTGGAAAACTCCTCCAAAGTAAACCGCTACAAGGGTCTTGAAACTCAGAAGTAACTACTCCGGAAGACTCCCAGACGAACTGAAAATCCTGCACGAGTATGAACACAGCTTGCGAGCTGGTCCCACCACAGCTCCAACAGTATAGTGGCGATGATGCGGCGGGGTCGTCTTCACAATGTCGGACGAATCACACGAATTGACGATGGAGGCGGTAGCGCATAGTAACAAGAGGAAGACAACGATGGCGATGACTTGTAACATGTACCGAACCACTCCAGTGAATATCCTCGAACAGAACCTCAGGTCAAATGTCGCCAGTTGCATCAGCTACTTTGTCCGTACACGCAGGAAAAAACCGGGAAGAGCCGAAACTGCTGCTGCGCTTCTCCTCCTCCATGCACCCAAAATATTTTGAGAATATCGGTCGATTTCGCTCGTACCCTGAAGATAGCGGGCACAATTCCAGCTGTAAAACGTTGAACTGCTCCAGCGAGAATGTTGGAACCTCATGGTACTTAGCAAATACCGCAACTCCGTTTCACAGTTACCCATAAAACAGTAGGCTTCGCGACGTCTTGTAGCAGCGCCCCCACGGTTTCTCCACCAGATGTAAACATGAACGGCACCTTTTATATTAGGGAACACTGGAGTCCACCGCATCGGCATGATGTTTTGGCAGTCGATCGGATTCAACGCGCATCATACACCGTCGATTTCTGCCAAGCTGTTACCAACTCTAGAAATTCTCCGGTACCCCTGTCCAGCTGGCCGTGCAGACGTTCACCAATCTCGTAGCTGCTGCAGGTTACCCAAACTCGCTTCGCTGCTGCTTAACTAACTAAGCGAATCCGCAGAGATTGCATAGTGACATCGTGAACTAGGAGATATGCGCCGCTACCTTGGCCTGCAAAGGGACAGAGCAGCGCACACCATACAATCGGCATTGTGAACCTGCATTGTCCACGATAGTGTGCATGATGGCGTGACCATCACAATCTCTCCACTCTCACACACTATCTTTCCACTCTCTCCACTAACTCTCCACTGTCCCACACTATTCTCCACTCTCCTACACTATCTCTCCACTCTCCCACATTATCTCTCCACTATCTCTCCACTCGGTCACACTATCTCTCTACTCTCACACACTATCTCTCCACTCTCTCCACTATCTCTCCACTCTTCCACACTATCTCTCCACTCTCCTACACAATCTTTCCACTCTCTCACACTATCTCTCCACTCTCCCACACAATCTCTCCACTCTCCCACACAATCTCTCCACTCTCCCACACAATATCTCCACTCTGCCACACTATCTCTCCACTCTCTTCATGATCTCTCCACTGTCCTACACTATCTGTCCACTATCCCAAACTCTGTATCCACTCTCCCACACTATCTCTCCACTCTCCCACACTATCTCTCCACTCTCCCATACAATCTTTCCACAATCTCTCCACTCTCCCACACAATCTCTCCATCCTCCCACACTATCTCTCCACTCTCACACACTATCTTTCCACTCTCTCCACAATCTCTCCACTCTCCCACACTATCTCTCCACTTTCTCACACTATCTCTTCACTCTCCCACACAATCTCTCCACTCTCCCACATAATCTCTCCACTCTTCCATAGTATCTCTCCACTTTCTCTCCACTTTGTCACACAATCTCTCCACTCTGTCACACTGTCTCTCCACTCTCATACACTATCTTTCAATTCTCTCCACTATCTCTCTACTCTCCTACACTAGCTCTCCACTCTCTTACACTATCTCTCCACTCTCTCTCCACCCTGTCATACTATCTCTCCACTCTCCAACACTATATCTCGATTCTCCCACACTATCTCTCTACTCAAACACACCATCTATCCACTCTCCCACACTATCACTCCACTGATCCACACAATCTCTCCACTTTCCTACACTATCTCTCCCCTCTCCCACACTACCTCTAGACTCTCCCACACTATCTCTCCACTATCTCTCCACTCTCCTACACTATCACTCCACTATCTCTCCACTCTGTCACACTATCTCTCCACTCTCCCACACTATCTCTCCATACGGTTACACTATCTCTCCACTCTCCCATACTATCTCTCCACTATCTCTCCACCCTGTCACACTACCTCTCCACTCTCCTACACAATCTCTCCACTATCTCTCCCCTCTCCCACACAATCTTTTCACTCTTCCATACTATCTCTCCACTCTCCCACACTATCTCTCCACTCTCCCACATTATCTCTCCACTTCCCCACAATATCTCTCCACTCTCCCACACTATCTCTCCACTATCTCTCCACTCTGCCACACTCTCTCTCCACTCTCCCACACTATCTCTTCACTCTCATACACAATCTCTCCACTCTCTCCACTATCTCTCCACTGTCCCACACTATCTCTCCACTCTCCCACACTATATCTCCACTCCCCTATACTATCTCTCCACTCTCCCACACTATCTCTCCACTAATCTACACTATCTCTCCACTCTCCTACACTATCTCTCCCCTCTCCCACACTATCTCTCCACTCTCCAACACTACCTCTCTACTCTCCCACACAATCTCTCCACAATCTCTCCACTCTCTTACACTATCGTTCCACTCTATCCACTATCTCTCCATTGTTCCACACTATTCTTCACTCTCCCACACTATCCCTCCACTCCCCCACACGATCTCTCCACTCTCCCACACTATCTCTCTACTCAAACACACAATCTATCCACTCTCCCACACTATCACTCCACTGATCCACACTATCTCTCCACTCTCCTACACTATCTCTCCCCTCTCCCACACTATCTCTCCACTCTCCAACACTACCTCTCCACTCTCCCACACTATCTCTCCACTATCTCTCCGCAATCTCTCCACTCTCTTACACTATCTTTCCACTCTCTCCACTATCTCTCCATTATCTCACAC